TTATTTCATAATGTCACTTTTCATTTCCAGAGTCTTTTATTTCATAATGCCACTTTTCATTTCCAGAGACTTATTTCATAATGCCACTTTTCATTTCCAGAGACTTATTTCATAATGCCGTTTTACATTTCACGTTCTTATATGCAAATCAGGGGGCGTGGCTACATCCAACATTCAGAACAGACAACAGAGGATATTCCTGGATATTCCTGGATATTGGATTTCTCGGGTTGATAGACCGGACAACACAAAGCTAGCCAACTTGTCGCCAGGAATACCCAGAGGCGGGCGTCCAGCACGTGTGCTTGTAGTACCAGCGCTAATGTTGACTTCATCAACTTGGACCTCTTCCACACGCACGCGGTGCTCAATCAGTCTTAAACAATTTAAAACTTCGTTGTCTATGTATACATCTTGAAGAGCACTTATCCGCCCTAGTATTTCCAAAAAACCCTCAATATGTGTCAAAATCGTATCTGCAGAAAACCCATGTTGATCGATTTGATCTGCTAATGCTAGCATGCTACCTCGGAGCCCACCGATGTCTTTCATTATATCAACACTCACGTCCCTTAGCCAGCCTTCTTTTGCACACGGCTCTGTTGTCTGTTCTGAATGTTAGATGTTGCCACGATTTGCATATAAGAACGTGAAATGTAAAACGGCATTTTGAAATAAGTCTCTGGAAATGAAATGTGGCATTATGAAATAAAAGACTCTGGAAATGAAAAGTGGCATTATGAAATAAAAGTACCATTGAAATAATTACATGTATTTAATATTTATGTATTTATTGCCTCATTTATTTATTTCATGATGTATTTCAAATGCATATTTCATATATTTACGTATTTATTCATTTATTTAATTTAGACTAAAACGGCATTCCATACAAAGCTTCTCCTGACGGAGATGGAATCTCTAGGTCGCAACTTGCATTCGCTCCCAAACGCATGTCTCCTTCGGGTGAGCTATAGCAACCCTTCCGGCTGGCACGAGGACGAGTGGAAGGTGGAGATGGGGATTACCCGCTGCAGGCTGGCCCTCTGGGCTCCTGGTGCTGAGGAGAAGACGTGTGACATCCGCTGCTGCCTTCACGGACGCCTCGTACTTCCTAACGCCCACCGGCCTGCTGTCAACAAGTCAACCATTGGTTGTACGCCTCTACAACCAATGGTCGACATACAACCAATGGCTTATGTTTGATGACTCTGTGAATGAAACATAATAATAGAATGGAAGGAAATATAATATGGTGAATCTAATATTAAGTATTAGACCCTACCCAGTGGAGGGGCAAGGACTATATATTTTAGTCTGCTTTCAGAAATATAGCAATATTATTTACTAACACCATAACATAAAATAATCATGATACAGGTGAGGCTACTTTTTGTATGTTTTCGGCATCAAAATTCAGTCATTGACGTGTATTTACTATTTTGATAAAGAGCGCCTGTCTGTCTTCCCAACTCTGAGAGCGCTTCAAACAACATGTCATTCACCCATTCACACGTGTTCATGCACTGACGGAAGAGTCTATCGGGCCCATTACAACTAACTCGTTAATATCTAAAGGCACAGCATAAGGGAGCAACTTGAAGTTGGAGCTCGGCAACATTCTACCTCTGAAGATGTTGCCACACACTCATAATCTAGGGTATAAGTATAAGTAGCTGATATTATGCTGTGTAGCTATGTGAACTAAAGTAAAACTACAATATTTCGTAAAATCCAGAGCAATAGAAGTAGAAATTCGAAATACTAAAGTAAAGTTTAGCACTTAAATATTGGTGGATTCCACCTCTGCACCGTCACTTGTATTAGAGGCAATAGCTATGTCTAGTCTATAGAAATATTTAAGAACAGGAATATTAATATCTACAAATAAAAATAGGGGTACAGGAAAGTCCTTACTATTGTGTAATTGGTTTGTGGCATGCAATTGAGAAGCGGCAAATACAACTTATAGTTGTATCATGGGGACTAAAGTTCCTTCAATCCATATACAAATTCCTCACATACAGGCTTTCATCATCATCAGTGATCACTGAGCTATCAAAAGTATTGCAGTTAGCCTAACACATAACGTCAGACATGTGTTTTACTATGTCAGCACCTGCATTCGGTCAGTTTGGCCCAACATTACCAGAAACACCCCAGAGGGCGTCACCATGGGGTTATCAATGCTACATGTGCCTCTATGTGTCTCTTACATATCACTGCATTATTTATTCATTTTATTTAATGACAAAACATTGAAAATAGTAAAAATTGTTATGTCTAAAAATTGCAAATGGTACCTTCAGTTCAGTTTGGCTGACAGAGTGACCACATCCCATCCTGAAGTCAATCTGTCTGACGTGCTCTTGGAGAACATTTGGAGTGGACCAACAGTTCCTGAGGGCAGCGTTTATCTGATGGTACTGGGCCACAGCAAACACAATTAACCAAGGGCATCAGACTCCTGGGTTACGAACGAAGATCCAAGGGAAAATATTCCCCAGACAACCAATTTGTTAGCAACCAATTGACCAGTAATGTGCAAATATATAGGAATAACGCAAACACAAAGAAAAGCTTTGTCTCACTCACACAGACACACACCGAGCCACAATTATTTTTTTCACCTGGCTTATGGGTGTACGGTCTGAATAGTCCTTTTGAAAAAGTAGACTAACAATTAGATTTGCCACTACAAATAATCCCTCTGGTGTCTAGTGGGTACGCTCTTTGCGGTTTATCTGAAAACAAAAAGCAGCCTGCAGTTTCTTTTGATGTCAGATCTTATTTATGCGTAGCCACTGTTCACGCTGTCTCTCCCTGGTCCTCCTGTGTGCGAGAGCCATTCAGAGCCCACTAGATGGCAGCACAGAATAACATTAGAAATGTTCCTTTGCTGCACAGGTCAGAAGTCAGCACTGCCTGTTGAGCATTTGGAGCAGGAGAGGAAGTGAGAGGCGTGCTGTACACAAGCATGAGCACAAAGCCAGAAAGTCCCTGCGCACATGTTACGGGGTTCATTTGGCAACGCTGTTTACCTCTTATTGAGGACATGGTCCTTCGTTCTCACAAGGGACGCTACACATCTAAAGCTAAAGGGGGTTGTCACATTCTGGGGGGGAACGGCCTGAACTTTGCACAGAGAAGCAGCTTTGAATGTGATCACGTGATCAGGTCACAGCGCTTCAATCCGGTTTACGGGTTTTGTTTCTTACCCAATGTTTGTGTAAAGCGCAGAGAGGAAAAATACAAATTAATATATTGTTTAAGAGAATGTATGAGCCTCACTTAACAAGCCACATTTTGTGTTAGGGGGGGATTTCAGAAGTTAACAATACTTGATTAATTTGAAACGTGCAACTTTCGTCCCTTCAAGCCCTATAGTCCTGGACATGCCTCCCCATTATTCTCCACTGTTTGTGGAGCAACATTGACCACACCAGAATACACAACCATTTGTCTAGCTAATTAGAAAGCAAACATAAGAACACAGTTTACCTGTTCTTCTGTTTTTACAGTTTAAAATGACGTCTAGTGACGCCTGAAATAGAACTCCCAATGTGATGCTGCCTGTTGAGGGACACACTTCTGCAACACGAAAGGTTAAGAAATGGCTGCATTTGCATCTTCCCATAGGTAAGTGTGTACTTGTGTGTTATTGCAAGTCATACTATTGTAAACATGAAGAGTCAATAAAAGCTCTCGCCGTCCCGGCCCTGTGTGTCTCCTCTGTTTCTCTGGTGCAGCATCAATAGTTATAAACCAGAAAACCAGTGCCAATTATTCCAATTCTCGATCTCTATTGCAACATTCAGATGCCATAAAGTTTTAAAATGTCTCTTATTTTGGGATCTAGACATATGTGGTGGGAAAGCACAACCCTGTGTAAACCGATCCAACCAATGTTCACTACCCTCACTGGCCTTAAATTCTGATGCACTTGCAGAGATGGCGCTCTTGTTACTAGGCTATAGTTCTTTTTAAGGAAATCTTCCACTGCAGAGAGCATGCGCTGTCGTGGCAAACATCTCATTGGTCAGTGATGGGGGTGGAGTGCGTAACACAAACTCCATAGACTTTCCAAGCTAGGCTGCACTGAATAAACACCCAAAGTGTGCTTAATTTGGTTCTCCCCTTCGTTCAAATTGTTCGTCTCTTCAGCTAAATCAAATGATACAATCTTTATTGATTTCGTCACAACCGAAGCAGGCATTCACGTGTGGTTGTTATTATTTCTATTCAGAGAAGCCTTGAGGATGCAGCTTTACGACTTTGCGTGAGATTAATTGTTTGTGTAGTTCTGTAACAGAGCTGTAAACAATAAAAAAAGACAATAAACCTTGTGAATGGCATATCTAAATCCAACATGCAATGATTTGTGGCCCCTCACGAGTCTTTCATTAGTGTGAAATGGTGGTTGTCAGCCTACATCACTATCAGGAACAACTCCTGAATTATGATGTTATAGGCTTCATAAGCCAGGGAAGAAGCCCGACAGATACTTTATTGACAGATCTGCATTAAAAAACATTTCCATATCAAACGTGTTTAAAGAAGGCCAGTGTTTCTGAAGCAACACAAAGCCTTGGTCCAATGCATAACTAACATACCTTGGTGTTTTGAGGAAAGGCCTTTATTTAGTTGATGGAAAAAGACACAACGTGCAAAGAGGAAATGTAGTTACAGTAAACAGGCATCCAAGTGCTATCACTGTTTTACAAATACACCATTTTTATTTAAATGTCAAAGTTGTGTACAATAACGTCCCATTTTATTTGAATAACCCTCCACAACAAAAAAACATTTAAACAGCTGTCTTGCTAAAATTAATTTATAAACTTATTAAATTATTTTGGGCTCAGGTAAAAAAAAAAAAAAATCTGCAAGAATTGTGGCTTTTCCCCCGGTTTCGGTGTGTGCAGCTCGCGCAGAGAGGAAGTGGAGTTTGTCGTTACGTTGAGAGCAAAGTGGGCAGAGCCGCCGCTGAAGGATATCAGCTCGGGCGGGAGGGAGAGAGGAGGACACACGCCACAGAGGAGCCAGGCGTCGAGGACGCGCAGCGCGCAGCGAGCAGAGAGGCGCAGAGAATGCGGCCCGGCGAGACGACGAAAAACGCCCGAAAATGCCGAGGAAGACGGGGGAGACGACGGCGGGTCGAACCAGCCTGAAGGAAAACGGGTAAGAATGAACGACAAGCAGGAGGTTTGGAGCCGTGGAGCACGAGCTGGGCGCGAGGCAATATGGTGGATAATAGGACAGTTAGTCGCAGTGTTGTAACAAAAAAAAATGGCCATGGGGTGTTGTCGGCCGAGAACGCAGAAAAACGGCTCAAAGAGCTCAAACTGCGTTTATTTGTGTTTTTACTTCGTGGGATTTGCATGTTTGCTAGCTGTGTTTCGAGTTAACTTAGTTAGTATTTCGACAAGTACGTTTGTTCTCGACCTGTTTGGACTTATTTCAACCTACGCAGTTAAAATTTGCTTTGTCCTTGAAAGGGCAAATGCCCTTGTCTGAATTTACTCGACAAAAACGTTAAGTACAACCAACATATTCGTCTTTTAAACGCTGTATTGAGACTCACTGCCATCATCACCACAATATATAAAGCATATTTTTTTGTTTTTTTTTCCAGCAAATTAGCCTTTTTAGGTTTTTCATCGCAGGGTAAATCAAGAAAATGTTTAAAAATTGATCCCTTTTCACAATGTTTGTGATTGAAGTTTACAGATGTAGTTTCGAACAATATATGAGAAAGTGTTTGATGCTTTTATAGTTATCAATTATGAATAGATTAAATGCATTGTGACAAGTTGTCAAAATGCCCTAAATATGACTTGTCAACAATTTGTCTCTTTGTAGACCGTATACACAAATCATACTTGCTTTGTTAGCCACATAGAGGTTCTATATGTGATAAAAGCTTAGATATACTTCGAAATACAAAATAGGGTGTTGGCTTTAACCCTTTAGGACACTGAATAGAGAATGATTTAAATATGTACATTATATTCTTTCCCATTTACATTACATCTGCAAGACATGTAAAGAGACTTTTATGTTAGAAAGCCACACTGCAATTAATATAGAAGGGAACCTCAAAATACAGTATTAATATTAAATAAAGATATAATGTCATCATCATAGTCTCACTCACAAGGTTGTTGATATATCCACATGTAATGGTAAATAATACACACAATACCTCCGATAACATGAAATCTTTTATAGAGAGATTGTTATATCTGAAGTTATATGGCTAAATTCAAAGAATTAGTACCACCGGGCACATAACAAAATGTCTTCTCAACACTAACCCGAGTTGGGATGTTCCCGTTTTAGGACTAATTCACTTCCATTTTGTGTCCGCTAGGCACACAAAGACAACACTTTCTGAACTACACATGCTATGAGTAATTTAGATTTTTCTTAATGTGTTATTAATCTGAGCTCTGAAACATTATCAAAAATATCTTTAAACCTGTAGCGCTTTCATTTCGGGATTCAATTCGAACCAATGTTTGCGAATTGAGTTCACTTGAACTACTAAAATAATCATGTTTTGTTTTTTGCAGGAATTCCCTTGACGTTTAGACAAAGGAGAAAAGGGATCATCTAATCCACGCTAAATGGTATGTGATTTGTAAAACGTGTCTCCTGGCTAACTAGCTTCATTGTCTTTACTGCTTCATACATGCAACCAGTAGGGGGTGCTGCCGTCCCATTATCACTCTGAACCAATATTTTCCCGTTTTAAGGGGTTGACATTTAACCACAAAGGAGCGATGAGTGGAAGGATACTGGAGATTCGTACTGCAACTCAGATTTGTAAGTATAATTTCTGTAAATTCATTGCATGTTATCTTTGCATTGAGCATTTTAAAATTTGAACTAAACGCAAACGTTCTATATGTATAGGTTGGTGTGGTATATGTCATTGTAAAGAAATGCCGCTTAACAAGTGTTATTTTGTTCATGTACATTATCGTGGTTAATTTTGTCCAAAAGTAACCTTAAAGGCTGATTTTATTTATAAACAACCATAAAATCTTCCGTTGACCTATCGAATAAAACCGATATGACAATAATCATATTGCGCTGGTGGCAAACCCATTTAAAACACACATTTTCAAACGGTACGCCGTTTCTGCAACCGGTCAATCTATTGCTCATGAGTGGCGTGTTAGGCCTGCACAAGTAGTAGTGAAAGCGATTGGAAATGGCTAGCTTTAGAGCACATTTCTGCTGTCATTCAAAGACCCCTTCATTTCATCCAAATGAAAATCAGGACATAACGTCTTCCCTTATTAGCAGCTGCAATGAAGTTTGCTTTCAAAACATCAACGTTACAAAAAAAAACAAAAAACACTGTACCTAAGGTGTTAAAATAAAAAAGCAAATTTGAATCCAAAATGTCTCAATTATCTACATTAAAACAATTCCTTGTGAAAAGAAGTGCAATCACTGAAATCTCTTAAACAATAACCATCCGACCCAATCTCTGATTTTACGTATATGTTGTAGCTATTTTGTAATAACACACTTATTTGTCGGTGTACAGTTGGCCTCTGAGATATTGTTAACTCTTAGGTGTCTTTCGGGTTTATTTAACAGAATACGTCTTGTAAGTAACTGTAAACTGGAAGGTTGAAGTACTGGCTGTATTGGGGAAGTCAATGGATTAGACTAGTGGCTTGTCTTCATTTTTCAAAAGGAACATCCAGCAAAAACATTCGCTGTAGGGAAAATTGGTTAACAATCTATAGTCAATATTGCATTTTCTATGAGAAGCCATTTCTCAAATGGTTCCATGCTGGGAACCTTTTGTCTGTAATCTTTAGTCCGTTGCAATCAACATTTCAAACCAGAAGACCAAACCACAGAGTGGTCAACTTATTTTCTATAGCTGTGTGAAGGTGACTTGTGTTGATATGAGCGTCATTCATTGTTTCTTATCTTTTCCACAGCAGACGTGAATATGGGGGTGAAGATTTTCAAATTTTGAAGACAAAGAAGACTGTGCTGTAAGTTCTTTGTTTGAATTAAGTATTATTAACTGAGCTCGTTAACATAATGAATGCTAAATCAAACTTATAGGAAAATGTTTTTTGTATCCCATTCGGATAGGTTTTTAAGGAGACCGTATGCTAGATGGACATTTTATTGCTACCGTTCACTTTCAGTTGTAAGGTTAGCAAAATACTTGTTAGCAGAACACACAAGTTGGTAGATGCAACTTTCTATTAGTACATGCCTAAGCATGTTCATTATGTGGCTACTTCCGTTACTAACTATAATGTAAGCTAACTTCACTGTGGCTTTGGTGAACATTGACTGCATTGCCTCCTTTTGCCATTTTGCACTAAAGCCGTTCTCCCAAGAGTTTCGATATCAGCATGTTTTGCAAAAATCTGATAGATTATTGCTGTTAAAATTTAAACAAGATAAAAAATGGGGAATGATATGTAACAACTTTTTAATGCATATTTCAAATCTTATAACAGTACATGGATTTTTGTTGATCTGTAGATGTATGTTGCTGCTGGTTTAAAAGGTTGCTTTAATAGTTATTGGATGCTACAATGTTGGTCTGTTGGTCAATCATGCATTTGTTTTGGGAAGCAGTTAGTCAATTAAGGATATGGAACTTTAATTTGCATACAGCATTTGTTTACTTATTTAAAGAGTGTTAAGATCCGTGCAAAATGCATCTCTGGACTCACCACACCCCTGGTGGTCAGTTGATGAATTTCTTTGAAAAATTGACGCATTTACTCAACTGAGACTTAATTTTGCCAAACCGTCAATTTGCAACATTTTGACCGCTTTTCCGTTACCAGTACAGCTTGCTGCATTTCTAACTGTGCAACTTTACTAAGAATTCCTACGTACGACATTCTGCCAAATGTTTTAATTCATTACATGTGATGCATAACGCTTTTTTGAATGTCTTTTTGGAACTTAACATAATAACGTTTCGCATATAATATTTCAATAAGTTTGATCCTAAATAAAGAGGTTTTGACACTGGATGACAAAGCCCAACAATTGTTAGCTAGCGTTCTACACGTCGTCGATGTGATGACGATTTTTAATTGTAATTCAGGAGAATAGCAATTTAGGAGAATAGCAATTTAGTTCTGAAAGAAGGAAGTGTACTGGTTTAACCGTATATTTGAGAAAGACCCATGCACATTTACAATGCTAGCTGAAGCATTTGAAAGCTATCCATAAATGTTCGTATACTTTATAATAGCGTAGTTTAGCACGCTTGGCCGGACAGCAAGTCATTCTTCCTTTCTGGTTGCATTGTGGGCTTACAATTGTTTCCTTCTTGTTTTTATCCTATCAAGACGCCAGGAAACTGGATATTGCTGAAGTGGCGACAACGTTGTTTAACGTGAAGATGGAACCTTTTTTTTTCCTTTTTGCAGTAAACCAAACGTTTACGGGATGCAACCATCCTTTTTTTTGACTGGACTTTGCCATTTGGATTTTTTCATTTTTGAGAACAGGGAGACTGGAACAAAGTTGGTGGCTGTTTGGTGCACTTGAACAATTGGTTATTTTTTCGGGAGAACACAAAATCAGCCTTTGTACATTTGATTTCGCAAATGTTTTTAAATAAAGTGTATGCAATTGCATTTTTCCCTGGCTTTGTTTCAATAACTAACGGTACAGAAAATCACAATGGGATATTGAGCGTAACATTTTAATAACGGTCCTTTTAGCTCGGCTGTTTTCAACATTCCGCTATTTCGTAAAACCAATGAACTTGGTTAGCACTGGCTTTGTTTCAGCCAGTCATCAATGGATGCTAATTTCGGTGAGCGTCGTACTGGGTCGACGAATCTCCTGAAGTACAGCCCTCTTGATTCAGGAGGCTCTTTGTTTCTACAAAATTATTAAGATTAAAGAAGATTGTGTGAAATGTGTTGATTCCAATCAGTCTCACTGGAAACCGCTTAATCCATTAAAACCGCTGAACACCAACATTCAATATGGTATTTGCCGAATGGCAACAAAGGGTTTGGCTTGAAAAGAAATGTTTTCCAAGGGCTCTCCAAATGGCTCCTGGTTGTCCTCCTTCCGGTCTGAGCAGGAAGTGATGCAATTGGTGCAACCCAATTTATATACTTATAAAACCCCTCAGTTGTCCTACAAGTTTTTTGTAATGAAGTAGGAAGTAAGATTTCAACCTCAGTTCTTGGCCTTTTTTTAAAAAGACGATTGATATAAAAGCACATTTTTAAACACAATAAAAGGGGTGGGACTTAACCATCACCTGAGTGTTGGGGTTAATGGAAATAACGTCAATCAAAGGCGAAGCTTTCAGAGCTAGGAAGGAGCTCTAGATGGCGGCTGAGCCTTGGGAAGGGTGCCATGGACTTTCGTCAGACCGTTTCTCTGCTCCGTTTTTCGACGGAGACCGCGCGATTTTGACAAAAAATTAAAGCGCCCCGGTCGTTCTGTCGGTGTTTTATCGAGCGTTTGGCCATTTTCGCCTGTTTTTCGGGGCCGGTTCAGTCGAGCCGCGCGGAGGGGAGAGCTCGTCGTTGTTTGCGGCCATGGCGCGCCTCCATTTTTACTCCGCTCGCTCGCCTCTGTCGCCCTGAGCCTGACAGCAGACTCCACAGGCCTCAAAAGACACCACGAACCATAGCTTATTCTGTTTTCTTCGTAGTTTAATGTCGAGTTATTACTTTCTTTCCTTCCTGCTGTTTTTTATTTGAATCGGGTAAAAAAAAGCGCTTTTGGTAGCGCGAGCGTGGATCTAACTTAATGGTTCATTTCTCGGTTACGAGCTGTCATCACGTTGAATCGGTCTGTTTACATTGTGTAGGTTAAAATTAACGGAATTCCTCATTCTTAAATCTCATCTTCGGAACCCTTTATGTGATGACGCAGTTATAATTAATTGCATGCGGCTTGATCTGTGCACTATATCGAAGGACACACGTTGGATATTACACGTATTTTAGCAGCACTTGTAATATTTCCTTGCTATATTTTAAATTAGCGATGTAAATAATACTCCTCTTCCGATTTAATGCCCTTTTCTTAACTCGTGTCGCACCGCCTGGTATTTTTACTGCCACTTGAGCAAAGGCTGTCTAGTGGGACTTTTATGATAGTTCATCATAAAAGTAACTTTTTTGACCGTAAATACCACGACAAAAAAAATCACCCTCGCCGAAAGGTTTTCAGGATACTACCATGATGAAGAACAAAAGTAAAAAACAACTAGATGAAGGATCGACCCAAAGCAATGCATCAAGGTATGATCCTCACTCATTTTATACCACTTTCATATCTGCTGCGATTGTTTACCTCGTCGAGCATGGTCGCTCCTGCCTGCGTGTATTTGCAAAGTGGGGTTTTGAAGAAGTGCGATACTGTCACCAATGACCTTGCTATTGTTTAATAGCCACACCCTGATTTGACCATTTCTGACACTCAACACGGAGGTTTCAGGCCTGTGTTCGGAGATTATTAAGGGGCACGTCATGTCCTGCATTACAATTCAAATTACTTGTCACAATGTTGCATCTCCTCCCGCTGTAATGTAATGACCTTGTCTATCTAGTTGGTACTGCATTGCACCATTTTATCAACGTTGATTTAATTTGTATTTTGCAAACATATTTTTGCTTTGTTACTTATGATCAGTATTGTATCGTGTTTTTAAGATATGTTCGGTGTGGGTTCATAACGTACTTTGAAAACTTAACTCGGGTTGCATGTTGCTTCAGTTTACTCTCTCTTTCACATGAATCTGTAAGCTTTTATCGGGATCTTTACTTAAAGTTTGGACTAATTTGAGAGTTTTTAAGAAATACCAAGTGAATTTATAATCATTTATCCTCATTCAAGTCCTTCAGTTCAAAGATTTGAATGCCCTTTTATTGAATTTTCTCTTGTTTTAGATATAACAAAACTTTAAACTACTATTCCTTCCTATTTTTATGATGTTCACATGCTTAATGTTTTTGCTTCTTACTTTTGTTTTGAGGCCTTATTGCAATGGACGATTACAGACTCAAATACTTAAATGTTTTAACTTTGCAATATTGCATTGCTTTCATTTGACAAGCAAGATATATTAATGGCCCCTAACACATTTACTGTTATTTTCTAGTATCACATCAATTTAAAAGGCACTTTTATTAATATTGGCTCTTTGGATATTGATGTGTTAGTTGAAGCATTTGTCTTGAACTTACATTTAAGTGCCTTTAAGTACACTTATATATTTTTTCACAATACTGTGCTTTTTTATGTTCTGTTTATTGTTTTTCCATAAGGTATCTGAATCTTCAAATATCAACGAGTGGAAATAACTCTATTTTCATCAATAAAGATGTTTTAAAACTCCCCACTAATAAAAGGTGCATTTGCATGTTGTCAGAACACTGCAGTTCTTTCAGAAACTGCACAGCGGCAGTGACATTATTACTTTAAATGTTTGTTTATTGTATACATTCTACTACCCAGCATGCATAGTTAGTGCCAGGAATGCTGCCATGCTTTTACCACAAATAAAGCAGCCTCATCACAATAAGACTGTTGTGTTTTTAGATAAAGACACAGATGTTTGGATACTAAATGCAGGTAATCACCCTCATGGCATTTTACTGACTGCACACTGCAGCTGGCTCCATCACACAGGTAGTTGTTGTGTGTGATCTTGAGGCAGCCATTTTAGTGTTCTCGGCTGTGTGTGACTAATGTGTGTCCTCTGCTGCTGATGACAGCCTGACTTTTACAGGCTGCTAAATGAGCACTGTGGGCGTGTAGAGCAGCAGAAAGGGCAGCAAGTCGTCATCTGACTAAATGCAACATTATCTCTTGCCAAAGCACTACACAAACATGCTCTCCCGAGTCACAAAATGGCCCTTGCTTTGTGTGCCCAGTTTGCTCACTTATCTGTATTAAAACTCCGCTCTGAACTACATGGAGGAGGAGCAGGAAGCATTCCGACAGTGGCGGGCCTGCACACTGCGCTCTCATAGGCCAGAATCCCACCTAGGAACACTGCAGCCAATAACAGGAGACTGTTCCTATGTCCCGCCCACCGCTGACCCTTTTCAATGCGGAAGCAGGCATGCACTTCCGAGTTTGGCAAGCGATGCTGCTGATGTTTCAGGCTGTGACGTTTAGTAACCTTGCTTCATAATGCTTCCATTAACACAAGTCAGGATTGTTTTGAATTGGTGCCAACAAACATTATTTCTGTCATGTTCCTGTTCTCAATGTCAGAATACAGTCCTTCTTTCTTTAGTTACTATTACAAATATGAAATATTGGGTTGTCAGAAAGAAAAACAATTGAACATAAGTGTAATGTATTTATTAATAATCTTAGTTACACACAAGCCCATCCAAACAGATCTATGTGAGGAGGTAATTCCTTGGTTTATACAGTGAGGGCGCCTCCCTGTGTCCTGACGCGTTGAGTTAAACTATCTGAGTTTCAAATCAGGAATCAGGAATCAGGAATCAGGAATCAGGAAACATTTATTAGCCAAAATATGTCAAACATACAAGGAATTTGTCTTGGCGGTTAGTGCGCGACAGTAGACAGACAAGACAACAGTGTACAAGTAATAAAATAAAGTGGAATGAAATGCTAATGCAATGGGTTAGTAGAATAAGGCTATGGGTTAGTATAAAACAAGGGAATAAAGTTAAACAAATTTAAATATTAAAAAGTTAAAAAGAAAAATATTAAGCATAAAGTGCACTAACAAACAAGTAACAGACAAGAGAGAAAGTGACAAGTGACAAAGTGATGAATTGCAGTTAAAGTGACATGTGCAGTGTGAGGGGGAGTGACCGGTGGAGTGTTATAGTCAGTCAGTGGGGGACCGGCTCTGTTGATGAGCCCGACTGCCGACGGGAAGAAACTGTTGGTGTGGCGGGAGGTCGTAGTCCTGATGGACCTCAGCCTCCTGCCAGATGGAAGGGGCACAAACAGGTTTTGTCGGGGTGAGAGGGGTCGGCTACCATCTTTTTAGCTGCTTCAGGGTCCTGGAAGCCAACAAGTCTGGGGTCTGACTCCACAAAGTCAGGGGATAGTTTTTATCTGAACTAATCCCATGTTGTCACAGTGGTTTATTACCAACCCGGGGGGTGTGGAGTGTTACTTTTTTATTTTATTTTATTTCCCTTTGATATTAAGCGTGTTTGGCAGAAGGACATTATTGTAATAGTAAGTCACCACTTAAATAAGTAATGTTAAACTCAGTTTTGACTTGTTAATTTACAGATGAAAGTAGAATTTTTCAAAGTGATTAAGTAGATTTGTGTGCCTTAGAGAGGATGAGCTCATAAGTCTGTTAGCTGCATGATATAATTAGGTTTCTGTTTACTTTCATCTGATGTCACAATTCCCTCATGTCATGAAGCTCTTGTTGTAACTCCATGTCTTAATGAGCCTGTGTGCACTTTTGAGGTTTTTTCTTCTACCATTGTTTTGCCATATTTTTGTTGGGTGTGCAGAATTTGTCTTGTTAGTGGTGCAAGCAACGTATCTCAACATGTGCACTGTAAGATGGAAAGAATCACTGTGTTCTTGTTCCTGTAGCAATTCGGCCTCGGAGGAGTCCAACCGCTCTGCGTCGGAGTCGGCCAGTCAGTCAGAGAGTGACCATGGCAACCAGAGGAGGAGATCGCACAACTCCGAGTCCAACAGCTCCTCCGACTCGGAGTGTCACTCGGGGTCAGAGAGCGAGTCGGCAGAGTCTAAAGCCCGGCGAGCCACGGCCGAAGTGAAAGACAAGCCCGTTAGAAAGAAGGAGCGGCTGGCCGATGTGAAGAAGGTAAAGGTCAATTAACTGTGGCGGTTTTCTAATTATGGAGATACTTAATTTTTGTTTGTGTGATCAGGCTTTTAATGTAATTCTGAAGATGTTAAAGACATTTGTAGTCATGTCTTTGTGTCCATGTTGGATTGCAGCTGTATGCACCTATAAACAACAATTTTGACAATATAATTTTTCTACCGTAAATATAAAAAAAAACATTTTTTAAAACCTTAGTTGTCAGAATCAGAAGCCATTCATTGCCACATATGTTACATATAAAGGAATTTGACTTGGATATCTCCAGTTTTATGTCTTTTATGTTCTATGATCTCAGGGTTGTGGTTCTGTTGGACCGACTGATTGTGACATCTGTCACTAAATTCCATTGAATTAAAGACAAATCAACGTATAGTGAATAAGATAATGAAGAAAACATTTATTTTCAGCCTGATGCCACATTGTTACAAATTATAATCAGACAAAACACATTTGCGTAGTGTTGTGAAAATCAACGGCTCTCTGATAGCGGTCGCTCTCGGTTTACAGATGTGGGACGAACATCCAGATGTATATGGAGTCAGGAGGTCAAATCGCAGTAGGCAGGAGCCGGCTCGCTTAAACATAGGAGCAGGGGTAAGCAGACCATTATTCTATCTTCTTCTTCTTCTTCTTCTTACAATTAGACCTCCTGTCATTCACAAGCCCCGCGTGCCACCCAGTGGACGCCGTGGAGAACTGCCGCTGTGTTTCACCTGGAAACGACGCTCTGAAATGTTCTTCCGCTGTATTCACAGGGGAGCAGTGACTCTGAGATCGAAAGTCCCAAGAGAAAAACCTCCCGCACAGAGAAAAAAGAGTGAGTGTGAAGACTGAGTGTCTTTGGGTATTTTTTATTATTTCATCACCATTTATTTAATTTCGTATTATGTTCAGACGCTTATACCAAACATTTAAAAAAAAAATTGCGAGGTTTTTGTTATTTAACACTACCATGCAGTAGTTTTGCCCAACTCAAGTTTGTTTTTGTCACAGTGTTTCCAGTCGGTGTCCATGTTGTGATTTTCATCATTTTAAGGTTGTTTGTTTAAAATGGGCTCAGTCACGCAAAATTCTAAATTTATATCAAAAGTGATCGGTCCGATCAATGGCTCATCCGTGATCAAATTGGGTTGTGGTGGACACCCTGTGGCCAGTATTAAAATTAAATAAAATGTGCTTGTAGCACTGATGGGCCTCGAGGGTGAACTTCTGAAATGTCTTTGTTAAAAGAAATGTCTGGGACTCAAATGATGATGAAGACGAGGAGGAGGAGGCTTCCAACAGTGCAGACAGTGAGCAGGAAGAGAAAAAAGTTCGATCCAGACGACTTCCTGCTAGAAGGTAAGAGCGTAGCGAGGCTAGCTGAACACTGCTCATCTCCAAATCATTCCATGTCGTCTGAACACTTTTTCACCTTTACTTTGGTGTGAAGAAGAATACGCAGTTTGCTGAAATACTACACGTAAAATGTATTCTAATAACAGTCCAATCATATTTAAACATTTTAAATAAACATGGCCGCACCGACGATGAGGAGACAGGTTCCTTTTTGTTGTTGTCTGTGGATTGTGTATTTCTGTGCTTTACTGTGTGTTTTCCAGACCTCAGGCCAAGTCATCAACCACCAAAAAGCAGCTGTCTCAAAAAAGCAGGAAGTCCAGGAAACAAGACCTGTCCGCAGACGAGGACGATGACGAGGACGACGATGAAGAGGACGAGGACGACGATGACGAAGACACTCCGAAGAGACTGACTCGGAAAAGGGGCGCAACAAAAGTTAAAAGGTGCATATGTCAACCTAATTTGTGTGCTACCGTCCCTCCCCTGGGGGACGTTCTGTGTCCTTTTCAGGACTCCGGACTGATGTTCATCCTCTGGTGTTGTGTTACAGTTACAAAGAGGACCAACACGACTTTGAGACGGACTCTGATGACCTGATCGAGATGACGGGCGATGCGGGCGAGGAGCAGCAGGATAATGACAGTGAGACCATTGAGAAGGTTATGGACACCAGGATAGGCAAAAAAGGAGGTAGTTTTTAAAAAAAAAGAGCATTTTGTACAAAATTTTGTCTCAACGCTCGCTTTGCAACATGTCTAAAAGTTGTTTTTTCCCTCCTGTAGCCACTGGGGCTTCCACCACCGGGTATGCTGTGCAGGAAAACGGCGACCCCAATGAAGGCTTCGACCCCGAGAAAGATGAAGGGGAGACTCAGTATCTAATCAAGTGGAAGGACTGGTCCTACATCCACAACACGTGGGAGAGCATGGACTCTTTGCTGCAGCAGAAAGTCAAGGGACTGAAGAAAATGGACAACTACAAAAGGAAACAAGAGGAACTCAATTCATGGTACAATCATTTGTCTTTAAACACATCGCCGATGTTCTTCCTTTTTAGGATATTTAAACTTCGTTCTGTCCTCGTCTGTAGGTTGAACTGGGTGTCCCCCGAGGACATAGAATTTCATAACTGCCAACAAGAGCTCATATCCGACTTGAACAAGCAGTTTCAGAATGTGGAGCGAATTATCGGTAGGAGTTCATTATCCTGATGTGTTCTCTTCAGTCTGACGATCCTGCAGAACCTCTTTCTTTTCATTGCACTTGAGATGTAATAAAAGGAATCTTATTATCCACAGCAACAAAAACAGGAAAGACACCAGGATCCTCTGACTTTCCTTGTAAGTCCTCTTGCTAACTTTTCACCATCGCTTCTACGTTCCGTTGATTTTTCAAATTGTTCCGTATAAAAACATCTGGGCTTTGCCTCATGTCATAATCATTTGTCCGCAGCTCACAGTCACAAGATTCCACCTTCCAATGAGCCAGAGTATCTCTGCAAGTGGATGGGCTTGCCCTATTCCGAGTGCAGCTGGGAGGATGGAGCGTTGGTTGGAAGGAAGTTTCAGCACTGCATCGATAGCTTCATCAACCGAAACTCCAGTAAATGCGTCCCCTCCAAAGACTGCAAGGTAAGAGGGGAATGACCCCCAACGGTCCCGTCTTCAGGTTCTATATTTTTTAATTGCTTTAATCCCTTTTTGAAAATATTGTTTTTCGTCTGACTATCATTTCAGGTGTTAAAGCAAAGACCAAGGTTCTCTCCTCTGAAGAAACAACCGTCGTATATCGGAGACGATAACCTTCAACTGAGAGATTATCAGTTGGATGGGTTGAACTGGTTGGCCCACTCCTGGTGCAGGTACTGCACACATCATTTCTGTAATATAACTGTTGGTTTTGATTGACATAATTAAAAAAATAAGTACTTTTTAGATTATGTCACAAATGTTTGTTTTGTTTTTGTTTTTGTAACCCTTTGCCTCAGGTGCAATAGCGTCATCCTCGCTGATGAGATGGGGCTTGGAAAGACCATCCAGACCATCTCCTTCCTGTCGTACCTGTTTCACCAGCATCAGCTGTACGGACCCTTCTTGGTGGTGGTGCCTCTGTCCACGCTCAGCTCTTGGCAGAGGGAGTTTGAGACCTGGGCGCCTCAGATGAACGTGGTGGTCTACCTCGGCGATGTCATGAGCAGGAAGTCGGTACGTTGGAGCCCGATTGTCTGTTGGTGGTTCCTCCAAAGTCGGTTACGTCAACTTCTCTCTTTGCCTCGGTTTGACGTAGATCCGCGACTACGAGTGGGTAAACCATCAGACCAAGAGAATCCGCTTCAACGCGCTGTTAACCACTTATGAAATTCTACTTAAAGACAAGGTACGTGCAGTGAGGCGGCATTACCTCAGGATTGTGTTTCTAGTTAGGAGCTTAACATCTGTCTTGCAGGGGGTGCTCGGGAACATAAACTGGGCGTTTCTGGGCGTGGATGAAGCTCACAGGCTGAAGAACGACGACTCCCTGCTGTACAAAACACTAATGGAGTTCAGGTCCAACCACAGGCTCCTCATAACCGGCACCCCTCTGCAGAACTCCCTCAAAGAGCTCTGGTCACTGTTGCACTTCCTCATGCCTGACAAGTACGTCCTGCTTTAGACGTTTCACACGGCGCTGAGGAAAGAAGTGGGGGAAACGCCCGCCAGTCAGAATCCCGGCCCGGGGACGAGTGATGTCTGATATCTTTGTTGTGCACAACAGGTTTGACTCCTGGGAGGACTTTGACGACGTACACGGGAAAGGGAGTGATAACGGTTATCAGAGTCTCCACAAAGTCCTTGAGCCTTTCCTTCTGCGGCGCGTTAAGAAAGACGTGGAGAAATCTCTCCCCGCCAAAGTAGAGCAGATCCTCCGTGTGGACATGACAGCACAGCAGAAGCAATTCTACAAGTACGAATGCATTTCTGTCTTTTGTGACTTTTTTCTGCTACGTCAGTCTTTCAAAGCAGCGTTTCTAGTCCCCATTAACTTTGTTTGTTCCCCAATATCTCCCAGGTGGATTTTAACGAGGAATTATAGAGCTCTTTTCAAAGGCACCCGAGGCAGCTCTTCTGGCTTCCTGAACATAGTTATGGAGCTTAAAAAGTGCTGCAACCACAGTTTCCTCATTAAACAGCCCGAGGAGGGAGACAGCGAAACGCAACAGGAACACCTGAAGGTATTTCTCCCCGTGAACCCCTCAGGACGTCTCTTCTCTGCAGAGGAAACTAGTCCCTGAATGGAAGCTCAGTGCTTCCTAATTTGTCCTGACAGCCTCATTTTGTCCACGTTTCAGAGTGTGGTGCGAGGCAGTGGGAAGCTGGTGCTGCTGGACAAGCTGCTGACCAGACTCCGAGAAAGAGGCAACCGAGTCCTGATCTTCTCCCAGATGGTCAGGATGTTGGACATTCTTGCTGAATACCTCGCCAAAAATCGCTACCCATTCCAGGTGCGACTTTTTTCTGGGCTTCATTGTGCATTTGCGTTCTTTGCGTCTCGTTTGTTTTCTGCCAAAAGGATTTTGGTTTCATTTAGCAGCAGAAGACCTTTTTAAAAAAAGAGTTTGGCTGTGGTCTTTGTTGGTGTTTACAGTCCAGGGAGCTGTTGGTTGTTAGGTGGCTTCAAATAGGATGAGGCTCAGTTGTCACTGTTGTTGCACATAAACTCCAGCAGGCTGAGAGATCCTGTTATGTTATTTATATCTACAAGTCATTCACTGCCGGAGACCAGACCAACTGCGAGTCAGTGGTCTTCGGTTGTTTATGGCGATGTAGTGCAGTCGAGGCCTATAGACTGGCCATCCAATGACGTGTCCAGCAATGTGATGCCGTGCTGATGGCAATTAGCCGCCCGGGTAAATATTCAAAGGTTAATTCCCTTTTGTTTTCCTCTCTCCTCTTCAGCGGCTGGACGGTTCCATAAAGGGAGAAATACGAAAGCAAGCGCTTGACCACTTCAATGCTGAAGGCTCAGAAGTATGTATACTCGTAATTTATACTCAAACAAACAGATACGGTTCATTTCTATAATTATTTTTTTTTAACTGTCTTAGAGCAGTAGAAAGTAGAAAGATGTATTTTCATAAATGTTGTAAAAAGGATGAAATACACATGCGTATTAGCAAGAAAGTCTGAGGTTGAGCAGCATTTATTTCACAATTATTCAATTCAATTTTGCCACCGAATGGTGGGAGTTGGTGCGTGTTGAGCCATATAAACGGTTTGCATCTGTTTTCCAGGACTTCTGCTTCCTGTTGTCCACCAGAGCTGGAGGCTTAGGAATCAACTTGGCCTCAGCAGACACCGTTGTCATCTTTGACTCAGACTGGAACCCTCAGAATGACCTACAGGCACAAGCGAGGGCTCACAGGATCGGCCAGAAGAAACAGGTGATCATTGGGCCTAAACGCTCGCTTTCACTGTAAATCTAGTAAAGAATGAAATGGATTGTTGTTCCTCAGAAAGTGACATCCATGATCACCTTTTCCTAGGTGAATATTTATCGACTGGTCACCAAAGGCACGGTGGAGGAGGACATCATTGAGAGGGCAAAGAAGAAGATGGTTTTGGACCATCTGGTCATCCAGAGAATGGACACCACTGGTCGAACTGTACTCGACAGCAACTCAGGAAACACAAAGTAAGATGTCAGAAATCACCGTGTAATAGTTGGGCACTGAAGCTCTGTTACTTGAACGTTGTTGTCTTTTTCCCCAGTTCAAACCCATTCAATAAGGAGGAACTGACCGCCATCCTCAAGTTTGGTGCAGAGGAGCTTTTCAAGAGGCAGAAGGAGAGGAGTCTGAACCACAGGTATTCCAACCAAAAAGAATCTCGTGAGCATTCAAGGTACTTGTTACATATTTGTAGAAATAAACCAGAATGTGTTTCTTCCTGTAGGAGATGGATATTGAAGAGATCCTGAGGTTGGCTGAAACGAGGGAAAGTGACCAAGGCTCAAGTGCTACGGATGAACTTCTCTCCCAGTTTAAGGTTCCTGTCCCTTTTTATTGTACTGATGCGTTGTAAAGCGTCACTACATTGCTTTCTTTTCACACCCGATCCGTCCCTTTCTTCCTCCTGATGTTGCTGCAGGTAGCCAATTTCTCCAGCATGGAAGAGAGCGCTCCAGAGTTTGTGGACAAGTCCATACGGGAGTGGGATGATATCATCCCCGAAGAGCAGCGGCGCAAAGTTGAGGAGGAGGAGAAGCAGCGGGAGATGGACGACATCTTCATGCTGCCCAGGAGCCGAAGCTCTAACAAGAGGGTAACAGGATCATTTTTACGCATTCATTTGAGGATTAACAACAAGTTGTTTAACTTTAACCTAATGCGTACACATTTCACCGACATATACAGAGAATTATTGCACCTCCTGCTTCACAACGGTTTCTGTCTTCCAGCAGCTCATTTGAGGTGTCGCTGTGGCTGCTCTTTGCGTTTCAGGCCCAGGCAAATGATAGTGACAGTGACGTGGGCTCCAAGCTGAAGAAACCGCTCCTCGGGCTCCGAAAGTGAGACCGATGATAGTGATGACGACAAGAAGCCGAAGAAGAGAGGCAGACCGAGAGCCCGCAAGAACAACGTGGAGGGTTTCACCGATGCAGAGATCCGCAGGTAAAGTAGTTTTATTCATTCCTCGGGGATCGGATCTTAATTTGAACTTGATTAAAGTTCCCTTTCATTAACAAAAGCCAAATGCATCCGTGATTAATATCATTAACAGGTTCATAAAGGCATACAAGAAATTTGGATCTCCGCTTGAAAGGTAAGCTTTGTTCATCATATCAGTAATGAATGTTGGGCCACATCATTTGATCACGTTGTTTGTTACACATCTTAATGGCTCAAACACTGAAGCGCGTCTTTCTGCATCCAGGTTGGAGGCCATTGCCCGAGATTCCGAGCTGGTGGACAAATCCATCGCTGACCTGAAGAGACTTGGTGAGCTGATTCATACTAGTTGTGTGACTGCAGTGCAGGAGCACGAGGAGCACCTCAAAGAGAACCCAGTCGAAGGTAAGCTGGTTATAGTCTGTTACACATCTTTGAAATCCCCGTTGTTGTTTTTTTCACACGCCCAAAAATGATGAATGTTATTATTTCAGCTAAAGGTCCGGGGAAGCGGCGAGGAATTAACATCAAGATCTCGGGAGTGCAGGTCAATGCCAAGTCCATCGTCCAGCACAAGGAAGAGTTTGAGCCCCTGCACAAAGCAGTGCCCTCCAATCCGTCTGAGAGAAATAAGTAAGATTCCACTGCAGAGATGAAGAGCGACACACTCACTGGTCTGTTTATGTTGCAGGTTAAATTTGACCTGTCTTGTTTCCTCACAGGTTCAATCTAGCATGCAGAGTCAAGGTGGCCCATTTTGACGTAGACTGGGAGCTGCAGGATGACATCCAGCTGTTGCTCGGTATCTATGAGCACGGCTTTGGCAACTGGGATCTGATCAAGACTGATTCTGACCTTAAACTCGCTGACAAGGCAAATTTCTCATTTCTACTTTATTACCGGGTTTGAGTAAGGAATGAGTAAATTTTTTTTTGTACTTTTAAAACAAAACCGTTCCCTTTCAAAATTCAAAAGTTCAGGTCAGAATGTTTAGAAGGCAGCTAGAACTCTCGATTGGTCTCATTTGCAGTTGATCGGCACCCGTTCTAATCGGTCCGGCCTTTTCCCCTCCCTTTGCACAGATTCTCCCGGACGACCCGTGCAAGAAGCCTCAGGCCAAGCAGCTGCAGGCGAGAGCCGAGTATCTTCTCAAGATGTTGAAAAAAGAGCAGGACGCCACGGACCTGTCTAAAACAGGGGAGGAAGTACGTCGCCACCAGTCAGAGCAACTCACCTGTGCCGCTCTCACCACATGTTTGCCTTTCCCCCTACCGGCGACACAGCTCATGCAGTCTGTTCCTCCCAAAAGGTCAAAGTGAGGAAGAGGAAGCCTCGGGTGAAAAAGGACAACAACATTCTCAAGGACGAGCAAGGCAACGACGTCTCCTCCCCCCGCCTGTCCCACAACCCGTCAGAAGAGGGCGAGGTCAAGGTCAGTGTTCCCAGCTGGTCTGTACGCTTAGTTCTGATTCCACTCATTTGATTCTGTGATGCACCGAAGCTATTTGTACTCCGGAGCTTGTCATTTTGCAGGGGGGGGGATAAATGACCCGTCAGACTGTAAAACTGTCCTTGTGAACTACAAAGTGACCACTTTACAGCTTTGCTTTTAGACGAGCAGAGCAACGCTACACTCGATCACATGCTCCTTGTGCTCTCTCGTAGCACGACCTGCTGTTATTTTGTTTAACGTTCACTGTTTTTTGCAGGATGATGGAACAGAGAAATCCCCCGCCAAGAAACGACAAAAGAAAAAGGACAACAAAGAGAACAAAGAAAAACAGGGAACTCCTAAAAAGGAAAAGGAGAGGGACAAAGACAAAAATGGAGCCAAGCCCAGGAAAGAAAAGGTATTCGTGCCCTCGTCATGTGGGGGGTCTCAGATTTACTTTGACATGCGGATGTAATAGTGTTTTTAATGCTGCCCTTATCACATTGAAATGCAAGATGTAGCTCAAGGATCACGGCTATGAAGCCTGTCAGCCTACTGTGAACAATCTGATGGCGGCGTGATTTTCACTTGTGGGTTTATTGTCTTTGTTTCTCCCTTTTGTTCTCTTCCAGGCTAAGGAGCTAAGGAAAGAAGACTCAAGGTCCAGTCCACATAACGTGCCGGCTCCGACCCCATTCCCATTGAAGGGAAGGAGGACGATGACTTGACAGGACACTTTCAGTGTTGTAAGTCTTTTCTTCACTTCCTCTGCAAAAATTGAGTCGGCAACATTTGATACGAGTTTGCAGCACTGCAATACAATAACGAAAGCGATTTAACGTGTGTGTGTAGGTAGTGTAAGGAGCGCCTGAGACCGGTCAAAAAGGCCCTGAAGCAGCTGGATAAACCAGACGAGGGTCTGTCTGACCAGGAGCAGCCTCCAGCACACCCGCACATGCCTGCTGAAGATTGGAGACCGAATCACAGAGTGCCTTAAAGCCTACGCTGACCCGGAGCTTGTTAAGGATATGGCGCAGGTAAGCGGATTAATCCTTGTTGCCTTTTGTTGTGTAGTGAATCCGGTGCTCACCTGTTTCTAATCCGGCTCGTGAATGCTTCTCTCCCTTTGGTCAGAAACCTCT